GACGGATGACCCGCCCGCCCAGACCCCGAGGGCTGCGCTGGTCGGGGCGCGGGGTGGGGGGGGGGGGGGTCCGGGGGTCGCAGGCTGGTTCTCGTTGGGGACACACCTGGCACGTCGTAAAATGATTTACGAAGTGAAAGTGTTAAACGAGGCCACCAGCTGGAGCCCCGACCCGGCTTTATGAGTTTTATTAGGTGCCCTATTATGGAAAATAAACTTTAATCCGACCATAAAAACCAAATCTGAAAAACATATTTGCCTGCAGTCTGGAACACTGCGGCGATCTGGGCTGAGTCACACCTCCGAGAGGATTAGTTTTATTGAGGGAGACACCAGGCACCGCAGGACTTTGATACGGGTGGGGGGCGCCCGCGTCCCACAGGCAGCGGCCCCCCCACGTCTCCCACACCCGGCGCTGCACCCCCGGGCCCCTCCCCGCGGCGGCCCCCACCCCCGGAGCGCGGTCCTGGCCCGGGGTCTGCGGGGAGCGAGGTGGGGGCACAGGGGAGGCCGCAAACCTGGAGATGCTCGTGGAACCGGCCTGGGACGCACCGGGCTCCCCTCACCAAGAGGGGGCGGCGGGAGAGGGGCCCGCGCCGCTCCGGTCCTGGGGGGCTGGGGCTCCCTTCCTCAGCCTTCCCGGGATCCCAGGATCCCGGTGTTCTACAGCAAGTGAGCCCTTTCTGGAGGAGCAATGGGGGTGTGGGGGAGGGGAAGAAGAGGAGGAGGGAGAGGGAGGGGAGCGGGGGAAGGAGGCCTGTCCTCTGGTCCTCCTAGCCACGCGAAGGGTCTGGCACAGTAGCATTAACTATACACATACTGTGCAACAGAGCCCTAGAATTTTTTCATCTTGCAAAACTGAACATCCTCCTCTTTCTCCCGCCCCTAGCCCCTGACAACCTCCTTTCTATGTTCTGTCTCTTAAGAAGTCGACTATTTGAGATCCCACATAGAAGTAGAATGGACTTCCCAGGTGGTGCAGTGGTAAAGAATCCACCTGACAGTGCAGGAGATGCAGGAGACCTGGGTTCCATCCCTGGGTCAGGTAGATCTCCTGGAGGAGGAAATGGCAACCCACTCCAGTATTCTGGCCAGGAGAATACCATGGATGACGGAGCCTGGGGGGCTACAGTCCATGGGGTCACAGAGAGTTGGACACGACTGAGCACACACACTACTACACACATATAAGTAGAATTATGTACTAATTAGAGTGTTTGTCTTTTTGTGACTGGCTTATTTCCCTGACCACTATGTCCTCAATGTTTATCCCTGTTGTAGCAGGTGTCAGAATTTCCTTCTCTTTAAAGGCTGAACACTATTCCACCATTTACATGTGGCTCCCATTTTCTTATCTGTTCATCTGTTGACAGACACTTAGGTGACTTCCACCTCTTGGTTATCGTGATGTTACAATGAGCATGGGTGTGCAAATATCTCTACCAGATCCTTTTCAATTCTTTTGGATATACACACGGAAGTAGGGTTTTTGGGTCATATGGTAATTCTAGGCTTTTATTGTTCTTGCTTTGTTTTGGTTTGTGTGTGTGTGTGTGTGTGTGTGTGTGTGTGTGTGTGTGTGTGTGTTTTGAGGCCCCTCCATAGAGTTTTCCACAGTGGCTGCAATATTTTACATTCCTACCAAGAGTGTGTGGGGGGATCCAATTTCACTACACCCTCCCCCACACTTGTTATCTTCGGTTCTCTTTTCCATAATAAATCCTAACAGGCAGGCGGTGAGAGCTCATTGTGGTCTTGAGTTGCATTTTCCCTGATGATTGGTGATGGGAATTCCTATGGTTGTGGACCATCTGTATATTTTCTCCAGAGAAGTGCCTTTTCAATTCCTTTGCCTATTTTTAATCGAATTGTTTTTTGTTGTTGAAGTGTAGTTCTTTATATATTCTGGATATTAATCCCTTATCAGAGATTTGATTTGCCAATACTTTCTCCCTTCCCAGGTTGCCTCTCGTCCTGTGATCGTTTCCTTTGCAGCACAGTTTTAACTGTCGACATAATCCCATTTGACTATCTTTGCTTTTGCTGTCATACAAAGTCTTTCCTGCTGATCTTTCCGGGCTGACTTCAGCCTGGGTGCAGGGTGCAGGAAGGTCAACCTGAAAGGAACAACCCCATTTTGTCGACTTTCTAGCCATTTCTGCACTTGAGACTCTGAGCATAAGGCTCCTCAGGGCCTCGGACCCTGGGCGGGAGCTCTGCGACGCCTGGACCTGTGATCGCTGGGTCTCTTATCACACAGAGAGCTTTCACCACATTTTCTCACACACTGTGGAGACAGTGACCCACGGCGAGGTGCTCTGAGAACTGACGACCCCCCCTCCTCCATCGTGGCGAAGAGAACCCGCGCCCAGAGTGGCCCTCTGGGTGGACAGGGGCCGACTGGGTTCCCAAAGGGCAGGGTTCGCCTTGGGCGGGGCCGCGCTGTCGGGAGCCGACTTATCTGGAAGCAGTGCTTCGTCCCCCTCGGGACCCGACTACGGAGACCTGGCTCGGGGTCTTGGGACCCGGGTCCTCCAGGCGGCTGGGCCTCTCTCCCCCCAGTGCGAGGAGCGGGGCTGGCGGCCGCTCACTCGGCGGAATGAATTGTTCGCTGTGCCCGGAGTGGGTGAGGATGAGCCAGTGATTATATTTAAATTTGCTATAATTGATTTGGGGAAGAGCTACTGTGACAAGAACGAATTGATCATTAAATTTATTAGCGAGATAAATTCCGTCGCGATTAAGCCGCTGGCTGGAGACGCTGGGGCCGCGGGCGGGTCCCGCCTTCCCGGCCGCCAAGTCCCCGCGCCAAGCAGGGCTGGCTCCGCTGGGGCGGGGGCGGGGGCGGGAGGTCGTCACCACTCTGCCTTCCCGCCCTGCTCTCTGCCCCGCTGTCGCCGGGGTCGCGAACGGTTCCTGGGCTTCAGGAGGGTCCGGCCTTGGGGTGGGTCAACGACCCTCTGCCGAGGCCGGATGCCCACCCCGCTCCAGAGCCGCCGCCGGTCGGCGGTGGGGGTGGTGTTGAGACTGGGGAGGGAGGGCGCCGACTCCGGGCCGGCCGGAAGAGGGGGCGCAGGGGCCTATCCCCCAGATGTGCAGCCTGCCGGGCCGAGATGGCTTCGGGCTGAACTTGAGCAATGTGGTAAAAATTACAGCGAGATGCACACGGAGGGCGGGTTTCCTTTAACCCCCAAGGCGTCTTTCTCGTCTCTCCCCCCCGCCCCCGTTTCCCACCCCTCTCCTGGGGCTCTCGGGCTTTCCCCCCCATTGCAAACCCAGTCCCGGATCCCCCACCTTTGGACCCCGGGCGGCCAGGCCCGCGCCCCGCCGCCCGCGCCGACAGCTGCGCCGGCCCGGCTCCCAGCAGCGCCGCGCCCCCGGCCGTGGCTGAGCCTGCGTTTTATGGAAGGAGCCGGGGTGATAATGAGCTGCCAGCGAGGATATTAATCTCACCCGGCCCTGAAGTCGAGGAGTGGCCCCGCTCGCCCGCGCGGTAATCACCCAAATGAAACTGCAGGCCCTTCTGAACTCGTTTATCTGTCGGAGTAGGGGGGCCCGCGGGGGGGGGGGAGGGGGAGGGAAGGGGGGAGGGGCGCGCCCCGGCCCAGGTGCGGGCGGGGAGGAGTAGGACGCGGCGGGGCGGGGGAGGGGGGAGGCGGCTGCGGGGAGCAGCAGGACCCGGGCTCACCTGTTTCCTCCGGGCCGGGGGCGGCCGGCAGGCCACGCGGGGGAAGGGGCGCCGCGGAGGGCGCGCGGGCATGTGTGCCACACATGGCGAGGGCTCGGCTCTGCCCGTGATGGATGGCGCGCGCGGCCGGGCTGATTAACCCAGAGACGCCGCGGCCCGGCTGGAGCGTTCTCGCCTTCCGCTGCGGTCCTCGGGGGCGGCCGTTGGCACTGATCCGGGAAAACCAGCCCTGGCCGGCTCAAGGCGCTTCGGGAGAGAGGGCCGGGGTCGGAGAGGAGACGCGCCGCGCTGTCCGAGGCCATCCCGGGCAGGGCGCGCAAGCAGCGCCGCCGCCAAACGGACCCTAGAGACCAGTGTGATCATTTGAAGCTCCTTTTCTGAAACATTCAAAGAGTGTGTTTCCACTTCTGGGGCGCCAGCAAAGCAAGAAGATCCTCATAGAAATAGGAAAACACACGGCGTCCAGAGTTACTCCTTTGAGATGCTCGAATCCTCAACAGTTGTGAGCCGGCACGTGGACGCGCGCTGACACCTGGCCTCGGGGACTTTTAGCGACACTTGGTACTTGTGACTCCCCAGCAGCCGGAATCAAGTCCCCCGACCCCTGGCCTCAGGGCCTGGAGGAGGTGGCGGTCCTGACACCCATTCGCGATTCTGATTTTTACCTTCTGCTGTCAACTCAGGAATACGGCCCACCCCATCATTTCAGCAACAAAAACAGTAAAACTTGCTTTCACAACTCCCCTCAAAAGACTTGCACTCTCATCCAGTAAAAAAAAACCAATTTATTTTACATTCCATCGTGGGCGATGGCAGAAGCTAAATGATAATTTAGCATGCGTAAGTAGACATTTCTTTATATATATATATATTTATAAATACAATATACAAAAATAAAGACAATACAGTTTTGGGATGTCCAGCAGTTTGAACGCTCATGACATAAATTCCCCCCTTCCCAATATACATAGCACAAAACACTTTTTTCTTTTTCCAACACTCAGAAGAACGGCGTATCCGGAGAAGGTTTCAGGTTTCGGAGGTCGTTTAACACTGCAGGTTTCCGACGTCACCATTCGGGAAGAGGGGAGCCGGGAAGCACCCCCGATGGTCGGCTCTGTAACGCCTCCCCCCAACGCAAGCCAAATTAAATTAAAAAGTACAAGAGTTCGAGTTTGAATCTGCTGGGCCTCCCTCTCTCCGTCCCTTGAAAACGGACCCAAAAGGGCGGTCCCCAGGACTCTCTGCCTCGGCTCGCGGGCCTGGGGGCGAGGATGAGGTCGCGGCGTTCTGGGCCGCCGACGCGGGGCCCCTACTGGGGCGGGGGCTGGTAGCCGGGCCCGCCGGGCCGCGGGGGCGGGGAGTCGGCCCCCGAGGAGCAGTCGGAGGAGGCGGCGCGCACGCCGGCGCCGTTGCTGTAGGGGAAGCGGTCCTCGTCCTCGTCGTCCTCGTCGTCCTCGGGCTCACTGTCCCTCAAGTCCCGCAGGCGGCGTGCGCCGCCCTTGTCCCCGGGCGCCGGCGGCCCCAGCGGCTCCTCGTCCCCCGGGTCCTCGGCGCCGCCGCCTTTGCCCGCGCCGCCGCCGCCCTTCTGCTTCTCGGCCTCCTGCGCCGCCTGCTCTTTGGCCTTCTTGCTGCGCTTCCACTTCATCCGCCGGTTCTGGAACCAGATCTTCACCTGCGGGCGCGCGCGGCGTGAGAGGCCGGCCTCCTCCCTCCCTGCCGGTCGGTCTCCTGCTCCCCGGCTCCCGCACCTGCCTGCGCTGGGGCCCTGCGCGCCCGCCATCGCCAGGGCCCGGGTGGGGTTCCCGTTAGAGGGCTCAGGAGCTCCAGAAGATTCGGACACGGGCTGGGGGCTCTGAGGAAGCGCAAACCAAGACCCCCCGCCACCCCCGAGGTCTTCCACCTGCACCCTCGGTCTGCGTGGGAAGGGCCAGGGCAGCTACGCTGCCCACCACTGAATCTCAAGATGCCCCCTCCTCTCTTTCTCTTCCCGGAACAAGCAAAATTGCTCCAATATGGCTTGAGGACCACCTGCTTCTGAACAGGGTGTGTGCGTGAGCACATGCGTGTGCGTGTGTGTGTGTGAAAATTCCTGGGCCCACCAGAACCAGCTGAATCAGACCCTGGCATAGGAACCATTGGGGGAGATGTGGACTCTGCGGGAGATGTGAATCCACACCCTAAAGGTCAACAGGCGCAGCTCCAGGTGCCCAGGGAGGCCCAGGGTCAAGAGAGCAGAGGCGACAGGGTCCCTGGGAGGCCAGGACGTGCAGACAGGATAGGGTCCCTGCGAGGCTGGAACGAGCTGGCAGGGGGGTGCGGGGGGTGCAGTGTACCTGGGTCTCAGTGAGCATCAGTGAGGTGGCCACCTCGAAGCGTTTGGGCCGCGACAGGTACTTGTTGAGCTTGAACTGGTGCTCCAGCTCCAGCAGCTGCTGGCTGGTGAAGGCGGTGCGGGGCCGACGGCACTTGCCCAGCAGGTTGGACTGCGCCTGGGCTGGGGTGGGAGAGGCCATGAGGCTGGCACCCCTCACACCCCACTGCTCGGGCCCTGCAGGGTTGCTCCTCTGTCTTCAGTGTCAGCATCCCCTCCCCAGGGTGGCCCTAGAGCCCCGGACCCCACCGCCAGGTAGACCCAGACCGTCTGGGTTTAATGGGACCAAATCTTTTCATCAAAGGCATGGCCGGGTATCGACCAGGCTCACCTTGCCCCCTCGGGTGGGCGTTGGTGCAAAGCAGGTGGACAGAAAGTCAAGTAGCAGAGGCCCAGATACCACCTCCTGCCCACTCTGCCCCGCGCCTTCCCCCCAACTCAGGCTCAAACCCACACAGGCCCTGGGAATCACTTCCTGCTTCTTCCGGGTGCAGAATTCCCACCACCACCTCCTTACGTACAAAACGAGCAGGAGGAGAAAGGGGGAGAGAGGACGAAGGGAGGAGGGAGGAAAAGGACCAGATCCTGGGCCTAAGCCTGTGTTCCTCCCCTAAAGTGGTTTCTGACAATGCTGCCGGGTCCCCAGGGGCAGAGACTGGGGCAATTGGAAGGCTTTCAGGACAATTCTCATTACGCAAATTAAAGGCCCGGGCACAAGGGGGATCCGGCTTTCTGTGTGTTCAAGGAGCTCTCTCTGCTTTATTTACATAATTTCACACGGTTACATCACAGAGAATTTTATGACCTCAAAACGAGACTTCCCTTGATTTCCCAGGAGCCTGACAAGTGTTAGACAATAAAAGAAAGGAAAGAAGCAGCCAGCCCAGGGCAGGCCAGCCCAGGCTCCCCTGGGATGGGCAATTTGCTTTATGGGAAGGCCCACGCCCCCTGCTTTAGTTAAACAAGGCCCCGAATTCCCAACTTGACAATACATTAGAACTTTAATTAAAATGCTGGCTCTGAAGGGACCATTTGGGAAATGCCATCCGATGGCTGAGACACCAGTTAAAGGAAACCAAACAGGTTTTCCAGCGAGAAACCATTCTGGCATCCTTGCCTATTCGTATTGCCCTTTAGGATTCGGTGTTCAGATTCTTTCTCTGAACTTAAAGCTGGCTGGGTTTTAATTAGCTACCTCCGGGTCAAGATTAGGAGTAAGAATGCGCAAAGTGTGTTGGCAAAACGATGGGGTTTCAGTCGACTTTCTGGGCAGCCTTGGGCTCCACACAGGCCCGAGAAAACAGCCGGGTGGTCAGGGAACCCAGTTTCTGGGGGGCAGCTGGTGTGGACAACCCCTACCTCCGGGCCCCCCATGGCAGGAGACTAAACCTGCCAGGTGTTGGGAGATGCATGTCAGAGTGGAAGACAGCTGGGTGGCATTTCATCAGAAGGGGTTGCTGGGCTCAGAGGCTGGGCCCCCGAGGGCTCCCTGGGTTTGGTGGACCGGGGTCAGCAGTTCAGATGTGCCTGAAGCTGTGGATGCCAGCTTGCCCTCTGCCTGGCCTGGGGCAGGGACGGGTGGCCCCATGGAAGGGAAGGGTGGCTCTCAGGGCTTTCTGGGAGCTGAGCTGGGCCGGCCTGGGGCGCCAAGGGCAAACAGCGCACACACTGGGCTTTTCTCACCCCGCTGTGACTTCTCCAGCCTTGTGGGATCCTAGCTTTTCTCTGTTTAGTCACAACCATCACTTCTAGCAGAGGAATCTGATTTCTGGCAAGTGTTTATTTCTGTTTTCTTTTTCGCCCCCCCGCCCACCCCTCCTCGATGCCTGCATCTCCCTAGTCTAAACAAATCCACTCAGACGGAAACAATGGGGTCTCTTTGTTTGGGTGTTTGGCCGCTTGAAGGGTAAAGCCTCACGCATCTTCCACTGAGCGGAGCCGGAGTGGAGCCTGCCGACCCAAGATCCACACTCTCCGCAGCTCCAGTCCTGGGCCGCGGCCGGCACACGCCAAGAAAGCCTGAGAGGCCCAGGCCCCGGCAAGGTGTCCTGCTTGGGTGGCAAGTTCGCTGCCCACAGTCGGGCAGCTCTGGGGTGGGGGGTGGCCAGCCCTCCCTGGCTGCAGTCTCGGGGAGGGGTTCGCACTGTGCTGGGTGCCCTGAATTTGAGGTGGGCGCCTGCTGCTCAAAGCCCCTTGAGGAGTACCCCAAATTAGGAGGGTGCATCTCTGGCCCACTGGAGCATGCCATCTCGGTTCAGACCAGGCTACCCGCCTTCCTGGGCATCTACCCACCCCGACCCGGCGCCTTCCAGAGGTGGGCACAGCCCCGCAAGGGCCCCAGCCTTATGTCTCCAGCCTCTTGAAGCTCATTCCTCCTTTCCTACTCTGGGAGGTCTGCCTCTCCTGGGAGGGACTCGATGTCTCTCCAGAGCCCAGAATGCGGACCGAAGTCACGTCCGTTTCTCTGAGCATAAAGCCCTGGTTTCGGTGGCCTCTGATTCCCAGGCACGCCTAACTCGGCTCACCTTCCCCCACCACTTCCTTCTCCTCTAGCCTGCCGGTTAATCATTAGATTTTAGTCTCACACCTCCAGCTGCCCCTTCCCGTTAAGAGAGGAAGAGAACAAGGACCGCGCGTGGCCATTTTAATCGATCGCTGGAGATCCCACGCCGCGCACCCCGCGCGAGTCCTCGCAGGCCCCGAGCGGAGCCGAGGCGGCCTAGGGGCACGTCCACAGCTCGCTCGGGGCAGAGAGCCGGGGCAGGAGATGCCGGGCGGAGGATGCGTGGGAGACCTTTCTGCCCGTGCTCGCCGCCCCCGCTGCCGCCCCTTTTCCTCGCTCCATAGGCTCGGGGCTGAGCGGTACTCACAGTTGAAGTCCGGCATCTTGGGCAGGATCATGCCCGCGGTGGACGCACGCAGCCACTGGTCCAGCTGGAAGGTGCCGGCGCCCAGCTTGATGGGGTCGGCGGGGTGCGCGGGGTGCGCGCCCTGCACCTGCGGGTACGAGTAGGAGAGCGCCGGGTGCTGCCCGGCCAGCGCGGCGGCCGCCGCCGCCGCCGAGTAGCCGTAGACTGGGTGACCGTAGAGCGCCGCCTGCGCCGGGAGCCCCGCGCCGCCCTGCGCGCCCCCCGGGTGCAGCCCCAGCGCCAGGCCCCCTGCGGCCGCGGCCGCGGCAGCAGCGGCGGCGGCGGCGGCGGCGCCGGGGTGCGCGTGGTGGTGGGGCCCCCCGGGCCCGCCGCCTGCCCCGCTGCCCGCTGCGCCGCCCGCGCCGCCCGCTCCCAAGAAGCCGGGTTTGGGCAGCAGCGCGCAGTGCGCGGCCAGCAGGCGCGGCGGCGAAGGACTCTCTGCGCGCAGGCGGTCGGCGGGCGCCGCGGGCGGCTCCGAGGACGCCGGGCTGCAGCTGCCGCTCGCCCCGCCACCACCGCCGCCGCCGGGTCCAGCTGCGGCGGCCGCGAGCGACGTGACCAGGGCCAGCGGCGCGGTTTGCGCCGAGGCCGCTCGCGGGGGGTCCACGGCCAGCAGCGCGTCGATGCGGAAATTTTTGGATTTTTCCATCGGCTCGTTAGGGGCCGGCGATCGGCGCCGGGCGGTGCGGGACGCGGCCGCGTGCCGGCTCTCGGAGTCCGTGCGCGGCGGCCGCCAGCCCCGGGGCTTGGTATGGTTACGATTATTTGCCAGTAATCAAAGTGGCAGCCGGAAACTCAGCCGAGGGCGACCATGGCCCGAGAGTCTCCTCCGGGCGGGCCCCCCGGGGCCGCGATCACTCGCGCCCGCACAGAGCCCACGCGAGCGCTCGGCGCGCCGGGGCCCTGTAGCCCGGCTCAGCGCTGCAGCCGCGGGCGAGCGCGCCGCTGGGGCCCCGCGCCCCTCCGCGCACTTGAAGCGCAGCGCGGCCGCCGATTGGCGCACGCGGCGGGGCCGGGGGCGGGGCCCAGGGCCGCCATTGGCCGAGGGCCGCACCTGTCAGCGCCCCGGCCGCCCACCGCCCCGCCTTTGCGTCGCGGGGTCCTAAAGGGCGCGGGCTGCCGGGCCGCGGGGGCGGGGCGCGGCGGGGCGGCTCAGGGGTGTGGGGGGCGCGCCCCTAGGGTGACTACTCGCGCTCCTGCGGCTGCGGAGCGGGCCGGCGGGTGCTGGCCGCCCTACCCGAGTCCAGCGTGCGTCCTGTCCCTCCTCTCCGCCAGCACTTGAGGGTGCTCACTTCTGCCAGGAGAGCCCACGCGGCTTCCACATCTGGCGGCTCTACTTGCAGAGGGTCCCCGGCCGCGGGGTTGGGGGGGGGGAGCGGCTGTGTCCCTGCCGCCAGTCTCGCACCTTCTCTGGAACTTCTGTGCGGCTCAGGTGTTGTGTGTGTGGTGGGGCGGGGGGCGCACACACATACCCTCTCCCTCAGCCCTCTCGGGTCCAGGTGAAAATCTGCAAGACCCAGGTGGGCTTGCAGGCATCGCCCACCTGCCCTGGGGCAGGCCCTCGACTACACAGCTCTTCCTCTCGGCCAGGGACACCCGGCCGTGCGAACGCAGCACGAGGCGCCCACCCCGGCCCTGGAGAACCCAGCAGGGCCGCAGGCCTATGAGGCTGGTCACTCTGATCCTGCTGCCCCGAGGCCCTGAGCCGGACGATGCAGGCTTTCTCCTGCCTGCAGCTCTGGGAAATTGGAGGAAAGGGATTCCCTCATCCGGAGCAGGGCACTGGGGAGAGAGTCCAGCCATCACCTCCGTCCCCCATTCGCACTTCACATATTTACAGTAAAAAACACTTCCAAGGGCTTTTTGAAGCAGAAAGAATGACCGTCCAGAAGCCCAGCGTCCACCAACGCCAGGCTTTGTCAACAGCTCCACTAGACTTAGTTATCTTCTCCAAACCGATGTGAGAATTCGGAGGGAGGGAGCTGAGGTTCTGGAAACCTGGCTTCCCCTGCAGGTGAGAGGTGACTAAAGGACAGGAAGGGGCTGTGGGAGGGGCCGAGGACCAAGGGAAAATAAAACACAGGGCCAGATAAACTTTACAATTAGCAGGTCAGGTTGCTACAGAGAGATTATTAGTGGTAAATGCAGGGACCAAGTCGTTTCCCTTCAAAGGCTTTTTACCCAGGTGAGAGTGGATCACAGTGACTCCTGGCTCCAGGGGTGAGCAGTGTTTCCTTTTCACTGTAACAGGGTAGATCCGAGACCCACAGGACTAGTAGGAAGATTAGGAGGATAGGGGCAGATAAGTGACAGCAACTGGAATAAATGTTACACAGTTTTGCAAGAAACAGTCTTAACTTGTCAGTAGAAGCGGCAGCTTTGACATGGTGTTTATCTTCTCTAGATCATGTCTCTATGGTGGTAAAAGTGCAGTCGTCCTTCCTCTGAGTGGAGAGAGGGGTGGATTCATATCCCTCGAACACCTACTGTGTGCCACAGGCTTTCTAGAATTATCTTACTTCATCCTCACTGTGATGCCTGATGAAGGATTTCTCATCTGTTTCACAGAGGGCAGATTCAAAGAGGTTGAAGCTTTCATCCCAGCAAACTTGTTAAGCCTCGGAGTTTGAAATGAGATGGATCTGACTTCAGGAGCTTCGCGTTCCCACCTGCTGTCCCCAGCTCTCCCAGCATCCCCATCCCCTGTTCCCCATCCTGTGTGTTCTGTCTAGGGGAAGGAGGGTTTTACAAGGAGACCTGAGAGTAGCCAGCAGTTCTGGACAAGAGATCTTCACCCTTCGAGGGAGGGTGACAGTGCCTTTGTTGCCACTCTGCAACACTGTCGATCACTCTTTACAAGATAGTGTGAGCAAAGAACGAACGTGGCCACCCATCTGATGGGGGCATTTAGCCCCAGGGCTGGCTGCCTTTCCCCATCTCATCACCTTCCCCTCCTCCACCTGTGCTGCAGGTCGGCTGGTCCTGAGAGCAGCGATTTAGGAGATTGTGGCAGGGGCATGACTGCAAGGTAAACGTCCCAAAGTAGACCGCCTCTCTGCAACCTGAAATAACCACTGCCAGGGCTATCTTAGTTGGTGATGGGGTATGCGGGCTAGACTTCATAAATCACCCCATCTTTAGCAATAAAATCATTCTTTTTTAAAAAATATAACTCCTAGAGGACTTCACATTACCATTTTTTTGTTCTACAGTAATTATGCTCCCGAACTCGCAGAACCTTCACCTCCGCTGGGCTTCTCCTGTGCCTGGACTGGCTGGTAACACTGCCTGAACAGACAGAGTGGATACTGTATTTGGGACCTGGCTTGAACTGGGTCACCTGGTTACCCTGAGTCCACACCACCTGAACGGCCCAGGTTGCCCTGGGGGGCCTCTCTAAATGCAGTGTGATTGCAGATGTAGAAGCTTCTTTATCTTGATGAGTTTTTCTTTGTCTGGAAAAGTCAGGGTTAGCAAAATGGACTCTACATGCTAAAGGCCTCTAAAATGGTCACACACACTGTTTATGTTAAGAATTCGGTAATACATATGGGAGGTCTCTGTGAAGTTGTATGGGAAGAGAGAGGCAGAGAGATGAAGAGGTCTGGGAGGTTTGGGGTCTTTGTGTGGTTTACGATGTGTGAAGCTGAGCACACGGGCCCTTCCTGTTTCCAGCATCTGTATTGACCCAGCCCAGCCGGCTTTGAAGGTTTGGGGCAGACAGGAGCAGCTCAGTCTGGGGAAGGGCCTCAGCGAGAGATCAAAGGTCTGGTCTGAGCGGTATCCCCGGCTTCAGCCTCTGTCTCCGGTGGTGCTGGGGCCACGGGGAGAACGCTCCATTTCCCAGGAGAAGCAGTGTCCAAGGCCTGCTGCACCTCCCATCAAGCTGCCTCCCGACCCTGCCCCACCCTCCAGGCGCCCCTTTAACACCGAACACTGCCTGCACCCACCTTCCTCGCGAAAAAAGGAGAACTGGAGATGTTTACAAACCATTGTGAAAGAAAGAGCTGTTGTCGTCCATGTCTATTCACGTCTGGAACGGTATATGTGGAGGTGGGATAAAACCTGTGTATTCACGTGTTCAGATGATGGAAGGCAGGCATCTTCCTTCATCAGTTACATTTTGCCTTCTTCCACGTGAAGGGGGCAGGCACAACAGAGCAGGAACGTGAGGGCGACTCTATCCCGCTGGCCCTGGGACACAGGCGGGGCAACGACTTTTCCTGGGAACCGCGCTGCCCAGCTCCCCCCACACCTCCCAGAGCTCGAGGTTTCCAGAGCTGAGACTAGGGCGGGTGCAGGTGATTCAGCCTGACCCGCCCAAACCATGCGCTGCTCCGGGACTAACTCTGCTGAACTTCAGTCGAACCACCATGCTGGGCGTCCTTCAGGAAACAGGCACCAGGATGCTGTGTCACCTGCCGGGGTCAGGACTTAGGCCTTCAGTGGCGATGGGACTTGAACCGGGGCAGTCAGGTTACCCTGCGAAGATGCTGATGAGGAATCCCCGTAGCTCTGTCAGGGCAGAGGGGCAGGAGGGCGAGGCAGGAACCGCGTGAGACGCTTGGGGACCTGGGTACCGGGCGTGGGAGGGGCCGGGGTCACCAGAGGGCGAGCTGGGGGTGGGGCGGGCTGTGCAGGTGTCCCCGACCCCCCAGCAGCAGAGCCGGAGAAGGGGGGCAAAGGTGTCTCACAGTTAGCACGCCCTTTGATTCGCCGACCTCCTCCTAGCCTGCTAAAGGGACTGGGAAGGGCCCGCAGGACACGCTGGCCGTTCCCCACTCCAGGCTGCATGTAGCCCAGTGCCTGGGCTGGAGCCCAGCCCACCTCCGGGCGTCCCTGGGGTCTCAGTCTGTCCCTTTCCACCTGACTCAGCCTCAAACCAGGGGCTCATTGCTGAGGGCTTCCTAAGAAGTCCAGAAGATGCTGCAGGGTTTAAATTCCCATCACTGGAACAACCCAGCAAGCTACCAGCCTTCTATTTTTGGAAATTTCCTCCAAACACAAAAATATCTGCCTTACTCTGGGACTTTGGGCAGCCTTCCAGCTTCCTGGGATACCAGGGAGAAGGGATAGACGTGGGGTATCCTTAGAGTGTTCCCAGGCCCTGCAGGTCTCCTCCCACCAGGGAAGGAGAGAGATATCCAGTCTTTCTGTTGCACAAATTCGAAGCTCCCAGGTTACAAAGAGAAACAATATTTCCCCCAAAATTCAGGAGCAGGGAGGAAGCTCATTGGAGACCCTTGAGGGGGTAAACAACCCTCACCTGAGATGAGTAGCTTCCCCAAGAAGACCACATTATGGCCAGAGGATTTAAATTCAATGTAATTTAACTGCAGGTTCACGCAGCGGCCTCTACCTCGTGCTGTTGGCAGAAACAAGGTACGTGGCAGGCACACCTGCGAAGCCAGCTTTTTCAGAGTGCAGACGCCCACAGAACCCCTCCAGACCTGCAGCTCTCGTGAGTGAGTCCTGAATCTGGGTGATTTCTTATTTTAAAACTGAGAACAAGGCTTATTTGCACTGGGAGAGCCCAGCTTTCCGGTCTCCCAGGGGACGTGTCTGGGCCCTGAGGAGCACCTTGCTAAGGTGTTCGGGCAGTGCTGACACACCTCTCCACCCTCAGCACCCCGCCACCCCCAGGGCGGA